AAAAAAAAAAACGAGACTTCTTGGTGCACAACAAGGGGTGCTTCCCAAGTCCCAGCCAAGTGTGTGTTAGTGGAAGGTTTTCTCAGCCTGTCTTTGAATTGTTTTCAGATGAAATTGTGGCTTTGAAGCGGCTGAAGATGGAGAAGGAGAAAGAGGGCTTTCCAATCACATCTCTGAGGGAGATCAATACCATCCTCAAGGCGCAGCACCCCAACATCGTCACAGTCAGGGTAAGGCAGCCCCGGCCTGTGCCCCGAGGGCAGCCTGTGAGTCACACTTACCTGTGTTGTGCAGACATGGAGTGCTAGCCCCCTCACCCCAAATGTCAGCCCCTGGATGGTCATCACACTTTGTAGGTCCCCGCTGTCTCTGCGTGTCTATGCTCCTGGAGTCAATGGTTGCAGAGGTGGGGCCTGGAGGTAAGCAGGGCACCCACAGACTTTTGTTTTTTAGGAAATAGTCGTGGGCAGCAACATGGACAAGATCTACATCGTGATGAACTATGTGGAGCATGACCTCAAGAGCCTGATGGAGACCATGAAGCAGCCTTTCTTGCCAGGTGGGGCCTGCGGGCTCGGTGGGGGCCAGCTACAGGGAGGGCCTCCTGCAGCCCCAAGTTACTCCTACAGATGTGGCCCTCTGGCGTCCCCCACGAGGAACAGCCCACCCTTAGGCTGCCCAGGCTGCTGGCAGTGTCCCTGAGCTGGGAGCGTTCCCGGGATGAATGCACCCCAAGAAGCCTGGTCGCTGCTGAGGCGAGCAGATGACCTAGGACAGTAACCCACTGCCCTCTAGGGGAGGTGAAGACCCTGATGATCCAGCTGCTGCGTGGTGTGAAACATCTGCATGACAACTGGATCCTGCACCGGGACCTCAAGACCTCCAACCTGCTGCTGAGCCACGCTGGGATCCTCAAGGTGAGCCCCCACGGCTCACCCCTCGGGGCGCCCGACACCCGGGCCTCAGAGGTCTGCCCCACAGCCTGCCCTCCATCCTTGCAGGTCGGCGACTTTGGGCTGGCAAGGGAATACGGGTCCCCTCTGAAGGCCTACACTCCAGTCGTGGTGACCCTGTGGTACCGTGCCCCAGAGCTGCTGCTTGGCGCCAAGGTGAGTGCTGGGGGCTGGGGGGCCTCACCCGTGCTTGCTGCCCCACCAGCCCCCTGAGTGCACCCCTGGCCTCCCAGGAGTACTCCACGGCTGTGGACATGTGGTCGGTGGGCTGCATCTTTGGGGAGCTGCTGACTCAGAAGCCGCTCTTTCCTGGGAAGTCGGAGATCGATCAGATCAACAAAGTGTTTAAGGTGCGTCTGTGGCTTCCGCTTGCGGGGCGCCCTGGCAGGTATGTGCAGGCACCCCGGACCAGACCCGCCCCTGCAGGCTGTGGCCGTTCCGAGACTTGCCTGTCTCTCTCTCTCTCAGGACCTGGGCACCCCCAGTGAGAAGATCTGGCCTGGCTACAATGATCTCCCCGCAGTCAAGAAGATGACCTTCACTGAATATCCCTATAACAATCTCCGTAAACGCTTTGGGGCGCTGCTCTCAGACCAGGGCTTTGACCTCATGAACAAGTGTGTCAACCTGCGGGCGCCCCACCCCCACCCGCACCCCTGTGCTGGGTACCAAGCGCTCTTGTTCCCCCAGGTTCCTGACGTACTTCCCTGGGCGGAGAGTCAGTGCCGAGGACGGCCTCAAGCATGAGTATTTCCGAGAGACCCCCCTCCCCATCGACCCCTCCATGTTCCCCACGTGGCCCGCCAAGAGTGAGCAGCAAAGGGTGAAGCGTGGCACGAGCCCACGGCCCCCCGAGGGAGGCCTGGGCTATAGCCAGCTGGTGAGGGGCAGGGCCGGCGGCAGGGGGAAGGGGTGGGGGCTCCCTGGGGCCGGGCTGGCGCAGCCGGGGCCCCACAGCACCGCTTGCTCCCCAGGGCGACGACGATTTGAAGGAGACGGGTTTCCACCTCACGACCACAAACCAGGGAGCCTCGGCCGCGGGGCCTGGCTTCAGCCTCAAGTTTTGAGGGTCGGCACAGAGCCGCACCAGCCCTGCGGGGGCTGCCCAGCACAACTCAGCCGGGCCCCGGGCCGGTGCTGGAGGCAACGTGTGGGGCCAGACCCGGGCCCTGCTCTGAGCGGACGCAGCTGCTGCAGGCCGGCGTGGCCACGGGTCTCCACCTCAAGTCTCAGACTGCCCGTCTGTTTGCTTTTCCACGTTTTATTTTTGTTTTATCTTGGCTTGTAAATTTGTAGAATTAAATCACATTTTCCTTGTGGAAGGAAAGGCTGTATTTTTTCAGACGTGTCAGACTTGCCCTGCAAGGAGTGGGCGGGCGTCCGTCGGTGGCCAGTGTCACAGCATACCCCCGGACACGCAGACTCACGTGGTCACCACCGGGGGCTGTGCTACTAGGCTACTGGCCTTGATGTGGAATGGAGCGGGGCGGGGGGGGGATTTTTCTGCTTTTAATCTTCAGGCTCCTGCTTCACACCTTCCTGCCCCTCACTCTGGGCATCCGTGGCCCCCCAGAGCCGGGCATGCGAGCTCTTGGCCACAGTGGGTTTTGTACAAGGTTGTTAACACGTTTTAAGATGCAGTAAAATACTCTTGGAGGAAAGCTCTGGTACGTCCTTTGCACAGCTGTCCCCTGGCAGACTTAGCGTGCGCTGCCTGGGGGGTCCTCAGGCCCTCATTCTCTGGGGGGAGGACGGGGGGAGAAGGGTGGCCTCTGACCCCATGTTGGCCGGGTTCTTCCTGGCCCGCCAGGTCTCCAACTCCCGGTCTAGCTGGACAGGGCGTCACTCTGGCAAAGGGGGGTGCCTGCCACTGTCTGGGGCGTCCACCTGCCCCATGTCCCTTCTGTTGGCACCACCGGCCTCCTCCCCCAACTCCTGTCTAGGCCCTCGCTCCTGGCCTCACTTGCCCCAACCCCCATCCCGCTCCCTCTGGAGGCCTTGCAGGCACAGTGGCCTGCCCTTCTCAGCCTTCCTGCCTCCCCCAACCCTGAGCAAACCCAAGACACACCCAGGGACCCCGGACTCCCTGGGCTCAGCCTGCTCTCCCGGAGATGCTATTTACATTTGGGCCTTAATTTACCCCAGTTCTCCAGGACCAGCCAAGAAAAACCCTCTTTGGCCTTGGCCTCTGAGGACCGCATCCTCACTCCCAAGGAACTGTGGGGAAGTGGGCTCCCCGCATCAAGCTGAGCACAGGCTGAGCGGCCCCACCCCAGGGGCCCGAGGCTGGCCGCCCGCCCTCCCAAGAAAGGGCGCGCAGACGTCATTGAGAAAGTGCTTTATCAGCGGCCTCAGCCCTGCAGGGCGCTCAGCCCCGCACTCGGACTCGCCAGGAGTAGGTGCTGAGCACACGTTGCCGCCGGCGTACCACACACGTATACGTGCCCTCGTTGATGGCGTTGGCGATGATGCTCAGGTGTGCCTCGCCCAGCGCCAGGTAGCCCGGGTAGGAGAACTCCAGGGGTTCCTGGTCCTTGTACCAGCTGCGGGGAGGGTGGCAGGGCTGGGCAGGGTCCCGAGCCCCTGCTGCCCACCCTCAGGGGGTCATGGGGCAGGGCCACTCACTACACTTTGCCTTTCTTGTGGAGGATCTTCTGGCCACAGCGGAAGGTCACATTCCGGCCCTCAGGCACCAGCCTGGTCTTGGTCCTGGGCGGTGGTGCAGTGGCGGCCACCGTGGGGAAGGGAAACTCTGCTCGGCAGCGGAAGGGGGCGGGCTCAGAGAGGGCCACACCAGTGTCCCCCCCCCCCCCCGCAGCCAGAGCCATGCCCCACGCCCAGAGTGGGGACCCAGCCTCACCGTAGCAGAAGTCGCAGCTGCTGGGGCAGAGCCTCTTCATAAGCCTCCGGCGGGTATCACAGAAGCCCCTCCGAGCCCAGGACGTGCACACGAACAGCCGGTCCAGGCAGCCTGCCGGAGGGCATCGCGGCCTTAGGGCCGGCCCACCAGCCGGCCCCTAGCCCGCCCCCCCACGGCACTCACCGTAGAGTCGGTGCAGCCCCCACAGCTCGTCCTGTGACAGCGTCTTCCAGCCCCGCAGAGTGGCATTCAGGTGCATGAGCGCCCGGCCATGCTGCGAGTGCATCAGGCCCAGCGCGTGGCCAATCTCGTGGGCCGCCACGTGCACCAGGTCGGTGAGCCAAACGCCTGCAGGTCCGGCGGGTCAGCCCCTCGAACCCTGGCCCAGCCCGCCCCACTCTGCCAGCAAGCCGTGCTTGCCGTGGCCACATCGGCTGCACTGTGGCCACGGAGCCTCCCTCAGCACAGCCACGGGAAGATAAGAATGTTCCAGAGGCAGTGAGCTCGGTGCCCAGGAATGTAGCTCCAGCTCCGTCTCCAGCAGCAGGGGGCGGGGGCGGGGGCGGGGGTGGGTTCCTCAGGGCTCCTGGAACCCAGGCCTACGGCCGCCTCCCAGCACCCCCTTCCTGCCTCCTTGACCCCAAATCACAGCCACCACCCCCAAAGCCCTCCTGCTCTGCCCACCATGGTGCAGAGGGCCCCACAGGAGGCCAGGCCATCACCTTTCTTCCAGCTGTAGCGCGTGGGGCCCAGGACCCAGTATTCGCTGTCATCAAAGTGGATGCCGCCGTGCGGAGGGAAGAAGGCGTGAGCCAGCTCGCCTGTTGGGCCATCAAAGCAGTGGTGCAGCGCGGACACCAGGCAATCCGTGTGGTTGACCGGGTAGAAGCCTGGGGGAGCACAGGGCTGAGAGGGGGCCGCAGGGCCAGGCGGGGGCGGGGGCACGGCGCCCACCTATGCGGAGGTCGCTGGGCTGCTCAGGGGCCACCTCTCGGAAGCTGAAGGGGGACACGTCACTCCACATGCGGAAGGCGGTGGCCAGGCCCCGCCGGGTCTCACTGGGGCTCAGCAGGTTCCGTGGGAAGGAGAGGATCCTGGGATGGGGGTTAAGGTCAGGGGTGGCGGCCAGGCTCGGGCATGCTGCCCCGCCCCCACCCTCCTGGGCCACGGTCTCACCTGTAGGTGAGGTTGAAGTGGTCCCAGCGCAGCCTGGCTGGGGTCAGCGTGTAGCGGCGTCTGCGGGGCGCCTGGAGGAGCAGAGGACCAGGTCCTGGGGTGGCAAAGACCCCGGTGGGGTAGGGTGCGGCGATGTCTCCCTTCAAGGAAAGCGAGTGCTCGTGGGGACGCAGTAGGGATCATCCCCACGTCTGAAAACACTCGGAAAAAGAACTAAAGAAAACAGGCGGGTGCGTGGTTCAGGGAGCGTTGAAATTCCCTCCCTTGGTCTTTCTGCGTTTTCAGGTTTTCTACCCCAGTTTGCTGCTTTTACAGCCAGGAAGAAAAAGGTTACTAACCACAGGCCAGGTCAGAGT